ACACTGTCTGATTTTTCCCTAATAGTAATATGATGCAAATAGTATAGAGTAGACCATTTAAACCTAGTATCAAGATGTGTCATTGTTCATCAATGCTAAGTGAACAATGTTAAACACGGGGGCCTGTAATGAAGCTGGATTAGCTGTCTAGGCAGTTGTTTCAGGGAAGTTTGCACCAATCTTGGAAGGGCGGACTGGGACAAAAATTCATCCCTGGCACTGTTGCCACACCAGCCCACATTACCACACCGACACAGCCCCATCCACAGACACACACATTCACTATTTATTTTGGTGTAAAGATGGTGAAATAATATGACATGTTTGCCCAATTTTGATTATGTCCGGGTAACCTTGGATTGGGTCGGCCCATCTTGAAACCAGGCGGCAGTTGCCGATTTGGCTAAATGCTTTTTTATTATTAAACATTTATTATTATTATTTTTTATTATCATCATCATAATATCACATCTAGCAAGAGATAAAAGCTGTCTGCACTTAAAAACAATACATATTAAAAAAAAAAAAAACTGACCAACCCACATATAAAAATTGGTCCGGCCCTTCTGGCATTTGCCAGAATTGCCAGATGGCCAGTCCGCCCCTAAATCTTGGGTTTTAGATAACACAAAGGCAACTTGACTTTAATACTCTTTGTTGCCATAGTATTATGGAACAACTGAGCTACCTTTGTGGTATCTAAAACCCCTGGATTCATGGTACAGGCCCTAGGTCTAAACTGGCTTTGAAACATTATGAACTTGTCATCATTTGACCACTTTTAGATGGTCGAAAAAGCATTTGACCAAATTGCATACTGTTGACACAAATGTAGTCATCTGAAATAACATTTGGTTTTACAGTGAAAATGCAGAAAGAACACATAATAGCAGAGTTTGGTGTAATTTCCAGCTATCAAAACACATGAAAAATGCTTATCTCTGTATGGTTTTTACTTTTACAATGCCAGAAAAGGCCTATACACCTGCCCAAGCATCCATAGATCCTTTCCTTAAAGCAGAGATGGACAAACTAGGGCCAACGGGCCAAAGGTGACCCGTGGTAACCTTTGATTTGGCCCACCATCCCATCTGAAAAGTGAGGGAGATTGATGGGGAAAGTTGGGACGAATGCCTTTAACAGTGATCATCATTTTTAATTGATCATAACCTTTTGTTAGTTTAACTTTTGAGCTACAAAAAAACTAACTGAAGTTAAATTATTCAGTTCATTGCTGTGAAGGAATCAGATTTGTAATATGTAATAAATACTTTCACTTGATGGATCAAAGACAATGCAGAAGACTTTGACGAGTAAATAAAGGGAAAGACAGGTGAAGCTTGACTCAAGACTCCTTATTGAACTCTGTTATAAATGGGATTGTTTTTATTGTAAGAAGTTCATTGCAAAATGTAAAAATGTGTATATAATAATAACATAATAATACGATTAAAGTATTTTTTGTATATCTGAATAAATTGGGAATTTACCATGCCCACTTTAATGTAGTTTATAGTTTGAACTTTAATATTTTGGTATATTTACCTTTGGCCCACCGCACTCAATCAAGTGTGGTTTTTGGCCCTTCACAAGAAAAAGTTTGGGCACCCCTGCTTTAAAGAATCAGGAAATTGGAAAACTTGTGATCCAATCAACCAAAACACACCTTGATTCCAAGTGTAACAGGGAAATAGATACAAATAAAAAAGCACCAATACACCATCATCTCTGCTCCATTATATATTATTACTTATACCAGCACACTCCTTTTTAGGATATAAAACAGACGAGTACAAAGGAAAGAGATAAAATGTTGACAGTAGTTTTATTTTAAACTTTTATGAAAATATTTTGTAGCAGTCCACCTCGATGTTTGAATATGTGTCTAAATGAGGTCTGAGAGTGGTAGGAAGTGTTTACAAAATTTCTGGGGAAAAGCCAGCACAACTGACTGCCATCTCCATGGCAACGTAACCAGCTGCCAACAACTCTCCAATTACTGCTCTAGTGCATGGCGAGGGCACAAACACACAACCTAATAACTACAAATGTACAGTAAAGCAGAAGTATCTGTGCGTTGTCAAACATTCTATACTGCTGATCTAATAACCTCACATTCTCAGATGATTCAATGAAATAAGTTCTCATACCAGTACACATTTTGTTGCAGGATATTTTTTTAAACTAAACTACAGGTTTCCCCTCTCACATCTATCACACACAGCAGGTGAAGAAGGTGCATTCCTGGATTTGATGGATTGCTTCTATGAGCTTCATTTTCCACTGACTGGAAGCAGAAGAGGTGGGAAAGGATTGATTGTTTTCATGGGTTAGCTGAGGTATGGGGAACCCGCATATGTACAGGTGTGCTGTCCTGCCCGCAGGCCTTCGTGGCTTGCTTCCCTCGGACCGCACTGTCTCATGCTGGTGTGGCGACACACTTTGCCAGTAAAGCATTATAAAACAACTTCAGGACTCAGCCTGAGCGTGGCGCAGTGTTTACAATAAACGGCGTTATCCATAAAACATGTGCAATTCCTAAACGATGATGTGCTAATTAAAGGAGTTTTGTGAGCCTATAAAACCCTGTTGCTCTTCTTTTGTGTGGAATATGCGAGTTAAGATGAATTGCTCTTTTTGACAGAAAACTTCACGGTTTCTTTTCAACATCAACCACATGTGGGTTTGGTAAGCGGTCAGAAATCTCTCTGGCTTTCAGGTAGACTGAGGAGTCAGTTTACATGTGCTGTCTATTGTTAAAGGATTATTGCAGTACGGAGTTGAAAATTTACACTGAGTGTAAAACATTTGCAAGAGAACTTGGATGTTATATTAGAGAAGACGTTTGTTTTATACCTTGCCTAAAAAATTAAGGGTTTTAAAGCGAATGCAGTGCAGAATGTAATTAATAGTCATACTTGCATGCACTTCTATTTATTTTGAATTGCCAAAACTTTGTATTCTAGGTTTACTTACAGGAGTATGCTTTTTCAAAAGAACATTGGCATTATTTTGAATAGTAGCTGAAAAACACAAGCAACATGTGTTTTATTCTTTTTGGGCCTAGCTAGCCTAACTTTAATTGGGTAGTTTTGACATTTTTAGCATTTTGTTGGATGCTGTCTCCACCGTGTGGCCAAATGTCGTATGTCAGTTTATTAATTTGCTTATGATATTTAAAATTATAATTATTATAATTTTCTGAAAAAAAATCGTTTCGTTTTTATATGTAGTAATTGCATTTGCGTATGAATTATATAACGTTACCCACATGAAGTTCATGTGAAACCCGTGCTAATGCGTGTTGGTTTTACGTAAGTTGATACAAAGGTACAAATGTATTTTGTTGTGTTTAAGTGATCAAAGAATAAGAAACAATAAAAAAATCAACACAAGGTTAATATCACTGTAGTCTGATCTGCGGATAGAAATATCTATATTGAGTTTTTGTGCAGTTTAAAATGGCGTCACGGTGGCCGAGAGGTTAAGGCGTTGGACTCGAAATCCAATGGGGTTTCCCCGCACAGGTTCGAATCCTGTTCGTGACGAATTTCCTTTTTGCTTTTGTGAGCCCAAGACCTCAATAAAATTACTGTTGTTGATCTGCTATAAATGCAGAAAAGATATAATAATACACACATATAATAATACGCACACACACATATATATATAAAGCTGAAATTGAGAGAATTCCTTACTATCTATATGTACCAGTCATGTTTCCACATTGACTCAGAAAGCAGATGTGAGGAATTGATAACGATACTTGTCTATTTAGCCTTTAAAACATTTTAGATGTTTATTTATCTAAGGCCAAAGCGTTTAAACAACTTTTTTGATATACAGCTGGGTTCATACAGCCTTTGAAATACAGTAAAATATGTTTATTTGCCAGCCCTCTATCGGATTACTATGAAGGGTGATGATGCAACCCAAATACCTTTGGAAATATTTGTGAACGTGTAATCAAATCATATTACACAACGTCGACAATCGTACAAGGAAATGGAGTGTGGTTATTTCCTATCCATGTGGACACATTCTTCATCTCGTCCAATCAGAATGAGCTCAATGTAACAAGAACACGGTAGAACCCAATATTTCAGTTCATAAAGCGTTTGATCCCATGTAATACTGACGATACAGTATACCAAAGAGTGAATTATTTTCACAGTCTGTTTATGCATACATGCGTTTATTGGACTGGATTGTGAGCATTTAACAGCAACAGCGCATCTCTGAACACCCCCACGAAACGGTGCGATGGCACATTCGGGAGAATTTAAAGAACTGAACACACTGGCACGGATCAGACGCTTTGTTAGTGAGGGAGAGACGGCTAGCACTGTGAAATAGAGAGTTCCCCTCTTTTGCGACATTTTTTATTTTATTTGTTCGTAGGATGGCTGTGTTTCACACGTAGAATACATGCTACATTAACTTCAAAGGCCAATAGGAAGTTTCGAACTGCTCATAAGGCATAAAAAGTTAGGCAGCTACAGTTATTTCGGCTGACATCCGTTTTAAATTGATCCAAGTTTCGTCGATTTAGCCTTAAATGTGGAGCAGACACGTAATGAATGATTTTCGAAAGGAAGATGAAATGAAGAGATGCGAGTTTAGTAGTTTGAGCAGCAGTGTGTGCGCCTGTGTCTGTATTCACTGACACCGTTTTAAACGCAGCCCGCATAATAACCGGCATCTTAATGTAAAGCGATCATTTCAACTGATATTTGGTAACTTGACGTCGTGTATTGATTTGTGTACGCTAGGCTAGCCAAAAGATCTTACAAATGTGTCTGGATGCTAACCATTTTAATCAGTGACAGACTTAAAGCGAAATCTTTAGTTTTAAGGTTTAGAGGCGGATGAACTCTAAAATGTCCTTCAGCAAAATGAGCTAAGTGTTTTTATGCGAATAACTAGTTCGTTTTATTCGTCGAGGAGGAAATATTTCCCCTTTTTACGTCCACTCCTTTAACGTTAGCTCGATGGTCAAATAAGAAAAACTAACTGCCGCCGATGTTAAGCTAGTAACACTTCGGCCTTTCTTAAAGGATCTCACAACCCACAATTATTTGCTTAGTAAAGTTTATTTAGCGAACAAACAACCCACTCAGAGCACATATTTCGTTCTAAGTTAGATCGAGAAATCCTCACACACGGCTGTGGTATTGCTAGCCGGTGTGCTAGCATCCGCCTCAGAAATGTCGAATATCTCCAACGAAGCTGTGATCTTGATTAAAGATGTAAAACCCGGATCCAAAAACCTTAATATCGTCTTTATAGTTTTGGAGATCGGTAAGTGGAGATCGGCTGCTGTGTCCCTCACGACCGTGAGTTAGCACGAGCTCAGCTAATTCCTAACAGCTAACATTTAAGAGTAACATTGCGCTCGTCTCCCGTGTTGCTTTGTGCTCCGCGTAGCTTTGATTTTCACACATCTGATGTCGAGTAACGCAGTTATGTGTGTGTTAGTAGTTTTGTAACGCTTGATAATTTACACTGAACTTTGTTGTGCACGCGCAGGTCGGGTGACGAAGACAAAGGACGGGCACGAGGTGCGCTCGTGTAGAGTGGCGGATAAGAGCGGCAGCATCGCCATCTCTGTGTGGGATGAGCTGGGCAGCCTCATCCAGCCCGGGGACATCATCCGCCTTACGAGAGGGTACGAGACGCCTCTTTACACTCTTGCTTTTATTTAGACCTCACTGGGCTGTCAGTAGATTGTCCAAGTGCTTGTTCCACTGGTCTTGTGTAAGACGTCACCACTATCAAATGTGCATGTGCAAAGAAAATAGTTCTGATTTGGCTTCATATATTTGTGTCTAGGTATGCTTCGATCTGGAAAGGGTGCCTTACACTGTATACTGGACGAGGAGGAGATCTACAGAAAATAGGAGAGTGAGTATTAAATGCATCCCTTTAAGAATTTATTCGTTTTACATTTTCATGATTCGTTTATTTCTCAACATTAATAAATAACGGTGTACTTGGCACATGAACAAATTGAAATTCACCCTTTTTGTCAGTAATATAATCTACAGAGTGCATTAGTGACTGGCAACTTTTGCAGCAAGCACTGGCCCATGGCAATAAATGAATAATCTTAATACTTGTAGTTCTGCATGTCATTGAGTGTGACAACATAAATCATTGGCTGAATCTGTAATTTCAGTGCATGTTAACAATAATAGTTTTGACTTGAGAGCATGGGCATACTCCATACAGTGTTTTAGGTGACTGCTGAATATCTGCTTTGGCACATTTTGCTATAATGCAGCACTGACTGGTGGTTTGTGTGTGTCATTATGAAATGTACTATAAACACTCTCCATTTTATTACCAAGATTTTTGTTTGTTTTTTGACTGAAAATTGGTCTTGGTGGGATTTCTAATAAAGATTTGTCATTAATAATCATACTGACCTGGGCAAAAGCATGTTTCAGGAGAAAATGATGCCAGCAACACTAATGTCATTGGTTTTGATTTTACAGGGATTACATGAATTGGTAACATGTGCACCTTCTGCCAAATACATGTTTAAGTAAAAGAGACATTCAGAGGCATGTTTCCTCAGTGTTGGAGCCCTCATAGTGTAATGTCTTTCACAGATTCTGTATGGTGTATTCTGAGGTTCCAAATTTCAGTGAGCCTAACCCTGAGCTGCTAGCACAAGCTAACCAACAGAACAAGACGGTGAGCCCAGTGTTCCTGATTATACGAAATTGCTTTTCCATGTGTAAAATTTCCTCCAACGTGCAGAATCATCTGCATGCCTAAAATTTGCTGCACTTATAGTGGAAAACATTAAAATGAAGGAGTCTGTAAAACAAGCTTTAGCCTTGTTTAGAACCATTTATTCTGAATGTGACTAGCAAGAATTTGGTTTCACTTCTGCTGCGCATGCAAATACAGAGTTATATTTAAATATTTGAACAGCATGAGCTTTGCTGGTTTATTATTAAAAGACCATGACATTTATCTTTTATCCTCTTGGCAGAGTAAAGAACAGCGTGGAAATTCTCCACCAAATCAAAATGCAGGTACTCCTGTGCAGACAGGTGAGTAAATATGGCTAATACTTCACACAGTCTGTCCAACTACGGTGACAGATGCTAATTTTGTAGCACTAGCATAATGGTTTTGAGTCTGGAGTCGTTCAATCTCAGAAACTGGAGTTATTGCAAAATGGCTTTTTTTTCTTCTTTTTTTTTTAAGCATACTGCAAGTTGTTTCTGATTAGATGTGTCTACTAAATGACGCAACAGAGGGCCCAGATTAACCCACAACAAAGTTTTACTTTAGGGTAAATGAGTAGAACTTCTTTTTGGCCTTAAATCCCTTTTCAGTTTACTCTTCTGAAAGTGGTATTGGATTAATATTTGAATGGACAGTATGCTTTCATTCCATAACAAAAAGCATTTCTAATGTTTCATTGCCACAGTCCAATGGTAGTTCAAAGATGCTTATCTGTGGGAGTAAGTCTTCTGTTATGTTCACTTTGCCAAATTGTCAAATTTCCAATTTAATTTAGGAATGTCTTTAATGTTACCATTTTGTTCTTCAGGTGAAGTATAACAGGGCCTTAAATATTTTCTCTCTACTGGTCACTTTGTACAATTTGTTTATCACTAAAATATTTAAATTTGTGTTTCAATCAGGTAATGGAACTGTGCCAGTGTTTTCCAATAACAATGCTGCACCTGTGCCACGGGATCCAAACTTTGGGGCTTCAGGAAGACCAAATGGGCGTGCTCCAGGCAATGGACCACCCCCAGTAACTGCAGGGGGAACCCCTGCTCCACCCAAACCCACAGTCACCATTAGCAATGGCAGGGACCCAAGAAGGGCTTCAAAGAGATGAGACTTCAAAACCATTTCCATGTTCCCACTCCTTTCTAAAATTCATCCACAAACCATCCTTACAGAACACAAAACAATACTGCCAAAAGATACGAGGTTTAATGCTACTGTTTTGCCACATGTGCTTTTGTTATTTGCAAAGTATGATTATTTGTTTCACACAAGTATAGAGTTCAACTTGTCCCAGTTAAGGGTAGGCCTTTTTTGCCATTTAAGTGCTGATTCAGTGGCCCACCGCTGCTTCCCTTTTCCTAAATGTTAAACTATACACCATACTTGAACACTCGATGCACTTTCTTTTTGTTTATCATGAATGCATTGCCATGCCATTCAGGAATGATTAACTGCTGTTGGAAACTGGGGAATGAACTTCAAAGTGACTGAAGACTACATGGGTTCTTCCCTTTACTCCTTGGCCAAAAAAATAATAATAATTACCAGAAGTGACCGTGTGAAAGGAGAGGTGATGGTTTGCTCGAACTATTAGAATTATTTAATTAGGAATAAATCAAGAACAAAATATTGGGATTCCTGCGGTGGTTGCAGTTGTTTTACTTGACCTTTTCAGTGCCATTTACAACAAATAAGACTTGCTTTCCATAGTGCAATGGGACTACACTAAAACATTCTGCACACTCTTATACTGGAACACCACCATGTATCATTTGTAATCTGGATGTTTATTTGCTTATCTATGAAATAGATAATTTGGGAAGACTTGACCATACCGTTATAGATGTATTTCTTTTGGTCCAATAGTTAAGCTCACGTATCTAGCCAAAGTGTTCTTTTACTTGCATTCCTGTTCACATGAGAGGTTGTTTTGTTTGTAAATATTTGCACATTTTATAGTCTTACCCCACTTTGTGTTCACACTTGAAAATGATATGCAGATTAAATCTAGTTTGTCAAGACAAGTTCAGGTTTTAAAAAAAAAAAAATAATTAAATGTTTTTTTGAATAATGTCCAACCTGATGATGACCGTTAAAGGCTAAGAATATACCCACACCGGTGATCTGAAGATGTGGTTTTAATAAAATCCTTTTCATTTTGTATTTAAACAAACATGGATCATTATACCAGGTAAAGTATGTTACTGGGAGTTGCAATTAATTATCCAAAAACAGTTGAATACCTTGTGTATTTATTGTGCTATAGAATTATTTGAGTTCATATGTTAAGATAATTGCTTTTTATTAAGATATATTTGCCCAATTCATGTATTTGCGATTAGTTTGCATGCAGTAGCTGCAAACTATATTAAACCAGTTAGCCAGGGGAAATGTCAGGAACAGTATTTTTCTAGTTGCATTTCTATAATGAAGGTTTTAATGTTTCTGTGCACATGAAACATGTTTACCCTTGAAGAAGATTTACATTAATGGTTATTACATTGATGTCTTATTACAAGCTATACAATTTGATCTTGTATAATAGAGAATTTAGCATTCTTTGTAAAAATATCTTTAGGTTACAGCAGCCTGCTGGCTGTTCAGAAAAGTTATGGTAGTGTTGCAGCAGTTTAAAGTGTCTGCTTTGTATTTTTGTAAAGGTTGGATGATTAGGGATTCCTGTTTATAGCTATATCTGTTGTAGTGACATCTGGATGACATTATGAAAGAACTGATGCAAAACAAGTGAAGTTTAAATGGCGAAGACAGAATCTATATACGTTATATTCAATTGTACCGTCTTTTGTGAATAAGGCTGCCTCTGACAATATTGTCAAATACCTACAGTATCTTGTTTCAAATGGAAGCATAAATATTCAGTTCAGAAACCCCTTTATCTTCAGCTCAATCAAGCTCAAACTTGTATTGAATGATTTCAAAACCTGTTTTTTCAGAATGTTTGTTCCACGTAAAATATCAAGGAAGTAAAACTCAACAGCTTGCGAAATTAGTTTACCTATTGCTGTCTGTACTTGCATGATAAAGTACTCATGCATTTTTGTAATAGTGAGTAATTTAAGGGATAGTTCACCCAAAAATGTAATTCTGCCTTTATTTACTCATCCATGATTTATCCCTTTAAAATGTTTGAGCCATACTAGAAGATTACTCTCATTGTCAAGCAGCAATGGCCTAATTAGTTTTTTGTATAATTATACAGACCTATAAGTACAAGATTGTCTTCACATTAGTGATGAACCCAAATTACAGCATTAGAACATTTGTATTATTGAAACGAAGCAATTAAACATATTTCCCAAATATTATTACATATTAGCAGTTAAGGCACAGTATTTAATATATTCATCTGTTTTTGGTCCAATTCCTAATTATATTGATCATGAGAAAATTATATTTGAAGATCAAACATTTTAATCGTATAACAGCATGCATGGTTTCTGTTATTTTAAAGTTTGGGTGAAAAATGAAATGAATACTACGATCATTTACTATGATCTGGCCCTCATAGTGTTCCACATTTTGTAAAACACAAAAGATTTTTAGTACATTACAGTCCATAGAGTCGAATGTGAAGTCAGAGGTATGCAAAAACTGGTATTTGGTGCCATTATTCTTCAAAATGTCTTTTTTTCTTCCACAGAAAAAGTCATAAAGGTCTGGAATGACACATGGGTGAGTAAATGATGATGATGCTATTCATTTAAAAGCTTCAAAAACACCCGATTAATAATTGATCTCAGAAATATTTTTCTATCAGCTTTAGTCGATGATGATGATGATGTGCTATTGTTTTGCACATGATCAGAGTGTTAAAAGTTTATTTATTTTTTGCTGGTTCACATGTGCACACGCCTCAGCTCTTTCCAGAACTCTCCAATTCCATTAGAGATGGCTCCTTCTGCCAGTCTCCGGCACTCGCGTGGGGTAAAGCCCACCAGGGCTGTACCCTTGATACCCACTCCATGGTGTTTAACCAATTCTGCTACGCGTGCAGTGATTAGTGAGGCTGGAGCATGGCAGAAGGTTTGCCCTCCAATGCTGAAGTTTGGCCACTGCTCCTCACCATGAGATGAAGAACTACCATGAACACTCTCCACATTGCAGGCGATCTCCACGGCACCTTCATGTGGCAGGGCCATGACCTGAACTCCAGGGATGCCACCAGGACTGGATTCACGGATTGCTGAAGCCACACTACGGCCCAGGGCCAGATCCTGGGTATCGATGGTTACATTACAGTTCATGACGTAGGGACTCGCTCCAACACCTGCAGAAAAAAAAAAAAAAAAACTCTTTTTTACATTGATTATAGAGGTTCAAACTGATGATTGAAATTATAGGGAAATAACCTTTTGTAAAGGGATAGTTGACACAAAAATTAAAATACTACCATTATTTACTGGCTTTCACATTGTTCATACATTCATTGTTCAGAGTTCAACTCATAAGATTTCATATAACCCCCAAACACAAATTAGCTTCTAAGTTTTAAATACATGGATTTCTCAGGTTTCATTAACAAAAATATATAATTTGTGTTTTGAAAAAAATGATTAAATTATGTTGTCATTTTAAGTGAACTATTCTTTTACCAAACAATGACCTTTTCTGCAGGTGTGGTTTTTATATATCTTGAACCAAAAACATGATAAACTGTAAATACTTTCCAATACTTTTCCAAACTGGAAACTACATTGATGCACAATCAAATAAAAACTTTAGCACAATAAGAATCTTAATTGGAAATATATACTCCAATATAAGAACTAATTTACATAGTTTAATCACTTTCCATCAATTCAATCGTATTACAATGATGATCATTCAACATTTACATTATGCTGATAGTTGAAATAAAAGCATAAAGTTTTCTAAAATATATGAAAATGTATGGCTTTCTTTGAGAAAATGTATAGGATTTTTCCTTCCAAACCCAGCTTTCATGCTCTGTTATGTGCTGTTATGCAAAATCTATCCTAATGTTTTGTATCTGGTTTATATTTTTTGATTGCAGATAATAAAAATAACCTGTAATGCCGTATCTCCTTGTGGGCTGAGAACCAATGTCAGGCTTGATGTTTGACACATTCAAGACCTTTCTGAACCAGCCGATCTCCTTCCTCCTCTGAGCCAGACCTCGATGCTGAGGTGAATCTGCCCAGCCAAACAAAAAGGCACTGGTGCCTGCTACACGTTCTGCCAGAGTCAAGGCCAATGCTAAACAGAAAAAGAAAACAGCGACGGGTAAATATAGACAATGACAAAATCACTTCATATCATTTAGATTTAAAAGGCCAAAATCAAAACTCTTAAAATATTATTCTCGTTATGATTAACAAAGAATTATATTAATAGGTTAAATTAATACAAACAGTAATAATTTCACCACAAAATATTTTAAAGGTGACATTTAAAAGTAGAGATTGTAGCAAGAGAGTTATATTAGTAATATAAATAATTCTGGCAATTTTTATCAAGAGTGTAGCTGACCCAGAAATAAATATTCCATTATTTACTTCCATTTAACTCCCTGGGTTCTGATTATAGTAATTTTGTTGTTGTTTTTACAATAGTTTATTCTTTTTTATAATTTTTCTCACTTATTTAAGATTATATAGATATAATATACTCCACAAACGGTTGATTAAGAAAACACATTTTTTTGGAGCGCCTACATCTCTGCATACCCTGGGCTTCTTCTCCACAATCCTGGAGTCCCACATCCTCCCCCAGTGGATAGAGAGGCACCAGATCCACTGCACCCATGCATGGATGGATGCCCTCGTGGACACTCATGTCAATCAGAGAACATGCACACTCACAGGCTGACAATACAGCCTCCCCTGTAATCACCAACAACAATGAAGAATAGCCTCTTTGTACCCTAACTTATGAGACAATTGTTCCCAGCTACTATTAAAAATGAACTAGCAAGCTACTCACTTATGAGCTCAATGTTTGCAACAACAGTAATGACAGAGCGGTTGTAGTCAGAATCATTGAAGATGTTCAGCACTGTGACACCTTCACGTTTTTCTCCTTATGAATGATGGAGCCGGACCATTTGACACAAGAACAAACCAAAAGAATTCTGATTTCTCAAATTGATGAATCATCGAGTAAGTGTTAAAAGTAAATGTAATGGTCTCAAAACATAAACATGGTCTCACCCTTTATGTCAGTGATGGCTGATCTGGCCACTGTCTCCACCAAGTCTTTTCTTCGGGCTTCAGAGATGTTTAAAAGGCATGCAACCAGTCGTCGACCAAGAGCTGAGCAGGACATCCTTTTAAAAAAACAGAAACATTTACACCTCCCAGGCCATATGATCTAAAACCAGACACTCAGTCAGCTCAGGGTCGCCTAGAATGAAAAAAGAAAGCTTAACTCTCGTTAAAACTTAAACATAAAAAGGTCAACTTTATTACACAATGTTTAAATGGTCAAATATGTTAAAAGAAATTAGTCATGATCAGTTAAGGGTTGAAGAGCTGTGCAAGTTGATAAACAA